CACCTTTGCAAGCCGAAAAGTGGTGGCCAGGTCCTGCAGAAGCGCGCCCGGGACTTTCCCAGGAGCCAGAAAATTCAGTAGGCTTCCCAGCTCCTCGAAGGCGTTCTGGATGGGTGTACCGGTAAGCCCAACCCGCAGCTTTGTGTGGATGGCCAGGTCTTCTATTTTCTTCCTTCGCTGGCTCTTGGGGTTTTTCAAATAGTGCACCTCGTCAACCACCAAAATGTTCGCATCGATGAAGTCAGCTGTGCCTGGGGTGGGTAGAGTTTAGGGTGTAGGGTTTAGGGCTGAGGGCTGAGGGCTGAGGGCTGAGGGCTGAGGGTTTAGGGTTTAGGGTTTAGGGTTTAGGGTTTAGGGTTTAGGGTTTAGGGTTTAGGGTTTAGGGTTTAGGGTGTAGGGTGTAGGGTTTTTCGAGGCTTTAGGGTTCAGGGTTTACGGTTTAGGGCTTTGGGTTTAGGGTTTGGAGATTGAATTAGAGAAGGTTTGGGATTTTGGGCTATCCGCCTGCGGCTTCGTACGAGGTCACCCGGGCCCAGTCTGTGCCAGAGGAGCTCCACTCGCGTATCTCGCTATTCCACTGCGTCACCAAGCTTTTTGGGCACACGAAGACTGTCCGGAACGCACACCACTGGTGCAAGAAATCGCAGGCCCGGATAGCCTGCGCTGTCTTGCCTAGCCCCATGTAGTCAGCAAGGATGCAGCCGCTGCCCGGCACAAGCAAATGGTCCAGCAAGAAGCGTATTCCATGTCGCTGATGCTCACGCAAGCGAAGGTCCTGGTCCAGGAATGCCTGGATGTCCTCGCCTGTTGGCCTGGCCCGTGGCCCGGCGGGCTCCTTGTGAGTCAGCTTCATGGTTTAAGCCTCTACCTAAGGGCTACAAAAATCAACCGGTCCTCGGAGACTCGTGCAATTTTGGACCGGTCTTCTTCCCGTACCCTCTGCCAGAAGCCCTCTCCCTGCAGGAGCCAACCAGGCTGGAGACAGGCTGGCAGTGTCCCTTTCGGGACCGGTGCGTCCGACTTTGCGATCCCTGAGGGAGTGTGGGGCCCAATGCTCTAAACATAAAACCCTAAACCCTAAAACTCTAGACAGGGAAGCTGCGTCTTGCCTTTCTCTTGTGACTCCAGGTCGCGCACGGCGGTCAGCACGGATGCCGCCCGCGCCCAGTGACCCGTGGAGAAGAATATGTGTTTCCTTCGTTTGGGGACCCTCCCACCTACCCTATAGGCCCCCTCCCGCTTCAGCCCCCCCTCCCCATCCCAGCCAAGACCTCCCACTTAACACCTCCCACCTAAAAGCTGCCACCTACAACCTCCCGCCTAAAGAGCTCCCCCCAAGACCTCCCGCCTAAGGTGCCCGAGTGTCTTCGGGTACCAGACCTCCTCCAGACCCCCTCCCGCTTAAGCCCCCCCTCCCCATCCCAGCCAAGACCGCCCACTTAACACCTCCCACCTAAAGGCTCCCACCTACAACCTCCCGCCTAAAGACCTCCCTCCCAAGACCTCCCACCTAAGCTGCCCGAGGGTCTTCGGGTACCAGACCTCCTCCACAGATCTGATGTACAGGAAAGCGAGTCGACCCGTGTAGGACACGTTCGCGATGCCCCAGTTGCGAAGCGTATCCTCTGCCGGCATGTCCCACGCGACTCTATCCAGTTGGACAATGCAGTATGGGCCGTCAGTCTGATAACCCATCTGCAGGCACAGAAAATCTTCTCCCTGCAGCATTTTTCTCAGTTTCTGGTCGTCTCGCCTGAACTCCACCCTTTTTTGGTTAGTGATGATTTGCGCGAAATAGTCTTCTTTTATTTTCAAGGCCTTGGGAAGGCCCTGCGACCGCTGCGGCCTCAAAAGGTCGAAGTGCTCGGCGCCATTCCGGAGGCAGTGCAAGATGTCTATATGCCTGCCAGTTGGCGGGCCATATACGAACGTGGCGTCCGCCTCAGTGTCGACATGTATCCGAAGGAAGAGATTCAATGCGAACGCTGCGGGCTCCAGATGCTGCTCCTCGAAGCTCCGGCCAAGGACGTAGTTGTCGTAGGCCGCTTTTGGCAGCGCGGCATGTAAAAGCTCTGCTGTGTTTTTGGCATGTCTGATCTTGGTCTCCATGTCCAGATTCGTCCAACGTGGGAAGCCGAACTCGGAAGCCACGATGCAATGAAAAAAGCATCTGCCGTCACACAGCATGGGCAGAACCTCCCAAGCGTGCTTGTCGTTCTTCGGGGTCCACTTGCCGATGACATAGGGCAGAGTGCGGACTGGCCCGCAAGGAACCATCGCCTGACGGAAGGAGCTTGGAGCCGAAACCCCAAACCCTAGACCCAGAACCCGAAACCCGAAACCCGAAAGCCGAAACCTAAACCCTATTCTAACCCCTGCACTGCCCCAAACTCTGCCCAGGCGCCAGAGCCGCCTCTTCGGCCACCTTCTCCTCGGCAGGCGCGTACGGCATGGGGTGATCAGTTTAGGGTTTAGGGTCTTGGGTTTTGGGTTTGGGGTGATCAGTTTAGGGTTTAGGGTCTAGGTTTAGGGTTTAAGTTTTAGGGTTTAGGGTTTAAGTGGACCCCGAAGAACAACAAGCATGCCTGGGAGTTTCTGCCCCGGTTGTGTGACGGCAGATTGAGATGTTTTTTTTCTCATTGCATTGTGGCGAAGACTTAGGGTTTCGAGTGTAGGGTTTGGGGTTTAGGGTTGGGGGGTGTAGAGTTTTAGGGCGCCACTGGGCTCCCAAGCCTGGTTAGGTTTTGCAGGGCATGACACCCCCTCCCTCTCACCCCAGCCAAGCTTCGAAGTTTCCAACCCTAAACCCCAAACCCGAATCCCTGAACCCTGAAGCCTAAACCCTGAACGACCTCCACCCAGTTGCCGGTGTTGCGCCCGCAGCGGATTCCGCAGAGGCTGAGGAGCCGCCGTGGCCGGCAGAGGCATCGGAGTCAGGGCTCTCGCTTCCTGAAGGAGGAACTCCCGGCAACGGCAGGCTTGCAGAAAAGGTGTTCTCGCCCTCATCGTTGCCGATGGCCTCTGGCGGAAGAAAAATGAAAACTCCAGCGCGTAGATCTCCCCCACCAGCTGCTTTGACAAGCCCAGGTGCAGGGAACGGCTCATACGGTTCAGGAGGGGCGGTAGGTTAGGGCTCTCCCCCACCAGCTGCTGTGACAAGCCCAGGTGCAGGGAACGGCTCATACGGTTCAGGAGGGGCGTGTAGCTCTCCCCCACCAGCTGCTGTGACAAGCCCAGGTGCAGGGAACGGCTCATACGGTTCAGGAGGGGCGTGTAGCTCTCCCCCACCAGCTGCTGTGACAAGCCCAGGTGCAGGGAACGGCTCATACGGTTCAGGAGCGGCGTGCAGCTCTCCCCCACCAGCTGCTGTGACAAGCCCAGGTGCAGGGAAGGCGTGTAGCTCTCCCCCACCAGCTGCTGTGACAAGCCCAGGTGCAGGGAACGGCTCATACGGTTCAGGAGCGGCGTGCAGCTCTCCCCCACCAGCTGCTGTGACAAGCCCAGGTGCAGGCTCATACGGTTCAGGAGCGGCGTGTAGCTCTCCCCCACCAGCTGCTGTGACAAGCCCAGGTGCAGGGAACGGCTCGTACGGTTCAGGAGTGGCGTGTAGCTCTCCCCCACCAGCCGCTGTGACAAGCCCAGGTGCAGGGAATGGCTGCGATCAGCCAAGTAGCTTTGTATACTGTTGTCTTGTGGATTCGAGTCTTTCAGGAACTTAGCGGGTTTAGGGCTTGGGGTGAAAGGGTCCAGGAAGGCTCGGGCACCTTGGGCGACATCGTCGAAGGCGCTCGGGTACGTCTAGGCGGCGTAGAGTAACTCTCCTGTCCAGGGTTATGCGTTTCTGGGGTTCACAGGCTCGGACGCATTCTGAAAAGAAGGCCAGTCCGGAGGAAAGACGCATGGGGGGCGCAGGCGCAGCAGGCGTTCCTGCAAAGCAGCCCACGCAGACGACAGCTGGAAGCAAGCCTACGCAGCCAACTGCAGCAGAAGGAGTCCTCGGCGGCTGCGAGAGCAGGCACGAGGCGAGGTCGACGCATGCAACCCTATAGAGTCGACGAGCAGGCCTACAAGCCTTGTATAAACTTGCACAGCGCGCGGATGTGTCCCTAAACCCGAAGCAAGTCTGAAACATTGGCTAGAGGATGACCCTATTAACTGCTTGGGCATGCTTGAGCCCTGGCATCGGCTGGCACGTCTCAGCTGACGCCCCACGGAAGACACAGCGACTTGTGTGTGGGACCCCCCCTAAGCCCAATGCGGAAGCAGGACCCGGAACCCCCAGCGGCCTCGCTGCGACCAGTGTCGTCGAAAATCCTTCGGTTTGGGATTATGGTTGTTACGGCTGGGGAGTGGAGGACTTAAGACTTCAGCGTGTAGCTCTCCCCCACCAGCTGCTGTGACAAGCCCAGGTGCAGGGAACGGCTCATACGGTTCAGGAGGGGCGTGTAGCTCTCCCCCACCAGCTGCTGTGACAAGCCCAGGTGCAGGGATGGATATGGTTCCTACGGTTCAGGAGTGGACGACTCAAGACTTCCGCTCTTCCGCTTGTAACTCTCCCCCACCAGCTGCTGTGAGAAGCCCAGGTGCAGGGAATGGATATGATTCGTACGGTTCAGGAGTGGACGACTTAAGACTTCCGCTTGTAACTCTCCCCCACCAGCTGCTGTGAGAAGCCCAGGTGCAGGGAATGGGTATGGTTCACTCGGTCGCACTGTTTTGCTTCTAGAAGCAGCCAGCGACCCCGGCTGGCGCCTTCGTCGCACCGAGCTGTCAGACCGAGCAGGAAAACGGCCCCTGATGCACTGCGAGTAGCACCCCTAGTTGAATCTCACCATGGCATGCTGAATTACGGCAACTTGGGGGCACCAACACAGTAGACAGTCCTACCCCTCCTCCCACGAGACATCTTGCTGCCAGAGGCCCATTTCGGGCATGTTCAGCGCAAGCTCCATCGTGGATGAAACAAAATCGCCGTGGTTGCGGGCGAAGGTGATGACATGTCACGCCAGTGAGAAGACTCGCTCTGCGTCAGCCGTGCTGGCTGGTATGGCCAGGTATCTGACTACAACTGGGATCAAAAGCGGGAAGTCTGTGCGATGAGCCTTCCACCAGGCAAGCGGGCAAGTGTCTTTGGACACATTGTTCCCATTCACATAAGCAGCCAGCTGCTCCTTGAGGGAATGATGATGCCAAGGACGGTCGTCTTTGCCGTCCATCGCAGACAAGAAGCTTCTTCTCATCTTTTTGCGCGGTGTCTCTTCTTCTGCGTGTGGGATCTGATCGGGGCCTGCTGAGCGGCGAAGATGCACAGCAGCTTCCTTCAAGACCTGGTCGATGGCTGTTTGCCTTTCCTCCATGGAAGCATGCTTCATACGAAATCGAGGATCCAGGAGCGTGCACCGGCCCAAAAGCGGGCGCACGGCATCCAAGTGTCGATTGCCGGCGGCTATCCGATCTCGAAGCTGCGCCCGCAACTTCTGAGCCAAGTCGTGCAGATGGTGCTCTTGTATCTGGATCAAGCCTCGGTTCTCCCCCAAGACATAGACTGGCTCCCTTTCCTTTCAGATGGAGAGGGGATCTGAGGTGGGAGGCCTTAGGTGGGAGGCTTTAGGTGGGAGGCCTTAGGTGGGAGGTCTTAGGTGGGAGGTCGTAGGTGGGAGGCAGGAGGCGGGTGGGGGCACGGCCTCCAACTGAGCTGCAAGAGCCACGTGGCACGGCAGCACGATGGAAGCGGGTGCATTTCCTTTCTGGAGAAGCTCGGTGCATAACTCAAAGGGGCGAAGCACACCTGCAAAGTCTCGCGACAAGATGTAATCCTGGAGGTTGTTCGACACGGTCGACACGTCGCTTCGGTCTGGAAACCGGCTGCGAAGTTCGAGGTAAGCGGCTCGCAGACGGAAATCGTTCTCGCACATGCTGAGGGTGGAGTTCCACTTGGATGAGCAATCGATCTGCACGCGGAGGGGCCGCTCCAGGCCAACATACTTCTGGCAGCAGTCCAGGTCGCGGCGGTGCCGCTCGGAAAAGCGGTGGGTTTTGGCACGCGCACGAATGCGCTCGAAGGCAGCCACAACCTCTTCATTGGCGGTTTCGTGAACGGCAAGTCTCTCCACTCCGCGCTCTCTTCGGGGCTGCATGAAAACTTGTTTTCGAGGGTCCAAAGCCGTAATGTGCGCGCTGCACAGCGCCATCTGCACTTTCAAGTCGCGTGCAATGTTGCGGGCGTTGCCCGTGCAGTCAGACAGGGACGCATAGATGCAGTCCGTGTCCAGACCCCGATCACGGAAAATGGCACATATGCGCTGTGCTTGGTTGGCACTCGTCTTGTCCGTGCCCAGCCGATCGAGATAGAGGAGAGCTTTTTTCCGTGTGAAATCAGTGACATAATGCAAGAGCTGGGCCTGGAAGTGAGTCCCGTCCGGAGCTTCCCACAAGTCCGAGCTGACGGTCACTGCAGGCAGGCCTGCAACAGCGGATGTCTGCACTTCCACCCGAATGGAGGCACGGACATCTTCAAGGAGATCCTGCTGGATCTTGGCCACAGTTGCGTGGCAAGGAAGCCGGAAATTTGGCCCCAACAGCTCCCGAAATATGTGCTTGACACCAGGCCTCTCAGTCGTGAACGCCGGCAAGCGATCAATCGCCAGCCCTTTGGCCACAACCTGACTTCTGCAAGAAAAGAAGTGCTGGACTTTGAGTGATTGCTTGTCAAGCTAGCAATGCAAACAAAGGTTGAAGAAAGGCTATACTACGTGAAGAATGCCAGGCAGCTTTTGCAGCCTGGGCTAGCTCCGACTCCGACCAGGGACGGCCTTGTATCTCGGTGGCTGGTGCGGAAGGGGCCTCCTGTGGTCGGTGGATGCCATGTTTCCTCAGCAGGCCAAACAAATTCTGCTCCAACCGCCCAAACGAAAACAGCTTGCTGACTAGGGAACGAACATCGGGAAAAGGCAAGCGGTCAAGTGTCTTCAGGTGTTCCGCTATGTTGGTTGTGTTCCCAGCAGTGTATTTTCCAAATGAATTGGGTGGCAAGTCTGCAGGGTCTGAATCCTTGCAGCAGCTGTTGCAGTACCATGTGGCGCCATTCGTTGACCTGCGCAGGTGCACGTACTTCCACACAAATGAACGATGTCGACGGCTGCACGGCGTGTACTGGTCCTTGTCGGCTGGACGATCCTTGCACCGATGCTGCGCAGCCAAGCGGAGAAGCTTCTCCCATTCATCTGGCTGCTGGGACCGCAGAAAGAGAGCCACTTCGAGAGCACGGTCCGTCTGGGACCAGGATGCGATGGTCATTGCAACGGGATCCATGGCTGACGCGGAGCTTGACGCGGGGGACTGTTTGTCTAAATCTTCGGAGGCCTCGGGCACAGTCCTCTCGGGCGTTTGCGGCGCCTTCTTACTCTCCTGCGTCACTTGAGAAACAGCATCTGGCACTGCACCCACAGGCTTGCGAGTGGACCAGGTCCAGCAACCACCGAGATTCCAAGCTCTGTGCGCTGCCTTGGCATCGCATCGCAGCACATAGAAGCCAGCAGAAAGGACTGCTGGACCGCTTTTGCCCCTGCAGCCACGTATACCACAAGGCTCATCACCCATGTTGAGTCCCAAGCAACGCTGCTGCTTGTGATTGTTCTTTCTGTAGTTTTGTTTGTTCAATCCTGCTTGAAGGCCTTCCGGTTTGGGGACTTCTAAAGTTTAGGGTTTAGGGTTTGGGGTAGGGCCTCAGGGTTAAGACCTCATGAATGCGGAATTGCGGGTTTGGCTGGGCATTCCGCACTGCAACTCAGACGTTCGAGCAAACCACATGCATACCCAAAACCCTCCCTTATATGTTCGCCAAAGCACCATGTTCCTGGGGTACCCCGAATTTGGGCAAACCAGCTCAGACTTTCCCTACTCGCCGACTCACACATGTCCACCTGTAAGCGCACAAGTCTAAACCCCCAAGTTACCCCAAACCCTGAACCCTAAACCCAAAACCCAAAACGCCAAAACCCTAAACCCTGATTGGAGCTCAGGGTGCGCCCTGACGAAACTATGGGCTTCGGTCCTGCGTGCGGTGTCGCTGGAGAAGCGAAGGCGCGAAGACACGGATCCCAGCCTGCACACCTAAGCAGCCTGAGTAGAGGACGGGGGGGTTTTTTGGAAGGCCTGGGCGGACAGGTGTGTAGGAGGGCTGGTGTGGGGAAGGGTGGGAAGTTTGTGCTTAGGTGGGAGGGGGGCTAGTTGGGGGCTGGTCAGGCAGGGAGGGGTAGATGGGAGTTGGGGGGGGGGGGGAGGGGAGGCTTAGGTGGGAGGGGGGGGAGGGCCACACCGCAACCAACCGCAGGCGCCGCAATGAGCGCAATACCACACCGCAGAATACCGCAGAAGTATTGGTATCGACCGAACCGCCCGATGACAACCCTGGCTATGAAGGGCCTTGGCCATCGCCCCGTTGCGCCCAGGGTTCGGGCGGGTTCTCCCAGATGCTTCGTCGTCCTTCTCTATGAAGGAAGGCCAGAGTTGCCCAAAGAAAGGGTTGCCCCCGCCCGGTTGTTCCTCGTCAGGGTTGAACCACATTTGCCACCCCGCCAGCGTGGCCTTTGGTGGCCCCTACCAGCGGGCCCCTTCCAGCCCCGCCAGGCCCCCACCAGGGCGGTTCCCCCACCAGCTTCGTTGTCCTTCTCTATGAAAGGCCCTGCCAAAGCGCCCCCGCCAGGGTTGCCCATCGCCCCGTTGCCTTTCAGGCTTGCCGGGCGGTTCTGTTAAGATGGCCTGACAGCCGTTATAAGGCTATTGTTCAAGTGCTATATGCTGACCCAGATTTGCCACCCACCAAGGTTGCCCCGCCAGGATAGCCCCTGCCAGGTCCGCCCAGTATATAAATATACGTGTGCTTATAAATGCCCGGCGTGGTGTAAATCTGCATGCGCCTAGATTTCCAGCGGCCGCCACTTTAGAACATGTTTGCATGTTTGCCTGTTTTTCGAGCGGTCGGTGTTTTGTGGCCCAGGTCTTTGTGTACATATATACAGATATAAATAAATAAATAAATATATATATATATATATATACAAATATATTAGCATATAACATACAATATATACATAGAGAGAGAGAGAGAGAGATTGACGTGTCTGTATATATATATATATATACTTTTCTCTGCTGACTATAACCTGCCCCCTGTCATCTGCATGACGTAGGCCGGTGTAGGAAAGTTCCCGCATGTTTGGATTGTCCTGATGACTTGTGCTTCTGCAGTAACACGCTTATTGTGCCGCCCGTGCGGTTCGAGATTTCGCACACACACGAAAAGTTCGGCGTGAGCTCAGCTCTGCTCGTGCCATGGGTCGCGGGCGCAGCGGTCGTGGAAGCGTCCGTGGAAAGGGCAAGGGCGAAGCTGGGGAGAAATCTCAGTACATCACGCGCGTCGACCTCTATAAGTTCCTGTGCAAGTGGGAACTTCGGTCGTACCCAGACAATCAAGGCAGGCCCCTGTTCGACCCTGCATCTCGCCTGACCACGGAGCACCTGAGGAAGATCCTGGACGGCGATTGCAGTGAACTGTTGCGCCGACCCTTGATGGGACTGAACTTGTCCTCTGCATCGCTGGATTCCGCGGCGCTCTTTGCCCCGAAACTGGCCTCATCCCTGCCGCAAATCCAAGCAATGCTCGAGAAAGAATCCCTCAATGAAGCGGTCCGATATTTCAACCTGAACAGAGACGTCGAGCGAGACAGCAGCGCCTCGCAGGAAATGTGCAAGGTCTATTTCAAGCAGATCCAGAAAGCTGCACGAGACCAGGGCACAGTGATCGCTGAGGCTGCCGAAGCTGCTGCGGCCGTGTACACCGGTCTTGTGGCGCTGCTGGAATTGGCGGCAGTCTCTGAAGACATTCGCTGGTGGGCAAGCAAGGCTTTGGGGCCTTGCGCTGGGAATCGAGCACTTTCGGGCTGATCCTTTTGTCCGAGGGCCGCCCCCCCATTCGGGCCAAGCGCTGAGCTCTGGACCCCCTTCATATAGGTATAGAACAAATTCCTCCTGGGCAGGTCGGAGGTCTGGAACCCCTTCACATAGGTAGAGCCAATTCCTCCTGGGCAGGTCTGAGCTCCAAACCCCTTCATATAGGTAGAACAAACTCCTCCTGAACAGGTGAGCTCTGGAAGCCCTTCATACAAGTAGAACAAATTCCTCCTAGGCAGGTCTGTGCTCCGGACCCCTTCTTTTTGGTAGCAAATTCTGGGCAGGTTTGAGCTCCGGACCCCTTCATACAGGTAGAACGAATTCCTCCTCTGAGCTCTGGAACCTTGAACAAATTCCTCCTGCGCAGGCCTGAGCCCTGGAACCCCCTCATATAGGGAGAACAAATTCCTCCTTCCTGGGCACTGATGCAGGCTGCCCCCCCCCCCCAACGCCAAGCTTGCTTCCGCCAGCTTGCCCCGATTGGCCCTGCCATTCGCAGGGCCCGTCAGGGTTGTGCCAGTGCCCCCGCCAGGTTTGCCCCCGCAAGCCAGGGTTGCCCCCCGCCAGGCCCCCGCCATGGTTGCCTGCCAGGGTTGCTCCTTCGAGTTGCCCCCACCAAAGTTGCCCCGCCAGGGTTGCCCACCAGGGGCCACTCTCAATGCACACCTAGAGGAGCCCCGCCGCATTCCCTCCATCTCATCCGGGTTATTCCGGAGTCCTGCGACCAACATGGCTCGGGTTGGAAAAACCGACACGGGGCTTAGCTATGGCCTTGAGGGTGTCTTAAACACAGTAGTTTGGATCCAGGACAGTGTAGGCTCAAGCAACAGCAGCAGTACGTCCCATCCCGGCCATCGGGGAGAGTGGAGGTGAAAGCCCCCTTGATAGGGGGTGGGGGGTAGACCGCTAAACCCGAAACCCCACCAAGTTGCCCCCGCCAGATTTGCCCCAGCAGGGTTGCCGCCGTCAGGGTTGCCCCCGCCAGGGTTGCCCCCGCCAGGGTTGCCCCCCGCCAGGGTGGTTGCCCTATACCAGTTGCGCCCAAAATTCCTTTCCAACTTTCCAGCTTCGCTTTTGGCAGGGTTGCCCTCGCTAGGGTGACAGGTTTGCCCCCGCCAGGGTTGCCCACCAGGTCTGCCCCGCCAGGGTTGCCCTTGTGAGGGTTGTCCCTGCCAGGGTTTCCCCCGCCCCCTCCCCCTTCAGGGTTGCCCCGCCACCAACCCCGGCACCATGTCGCCTACTTGTGCACCTTCTCAGTGACGGCCCTCCCAAGACAACCTGGTCCTCCCTGCGCGCTTGCAAGGCTTCGTCGTCCTTCTCTATGAAGGAACCACAAGCTCCCTGCCAAAGTACTCTATTATTCCGCCAGGGTGCCGGCAATGTTGCCCTCGCCGGGGTTGCACGCCAGGGTTGCGCCTGCCAGGGCTGCCCCCGCCGCATTCCCTCCATCTCATCCGGGTTATTCCGGAGTCCTGCGACCAACATGGCTCGGGTTGGAAAAACCGACACGGGGCTTAGCTATGGCCTTCAAAGTGTCTTAAACGTGTAGGCTCAAGCAACAGCAGCAGTACGTCCCATCCCGGCCATCGAGGAGAGAGGAGGTGAAAGCCCCCTTGATAGGGGGGCGGGGGGTAGACCGCTCTAAACCCGAAAAAGGCGGTAGTTTGGGTGGTTGGGGTGGGATCCGCTGCACCGAGGCGGCCCGACCCGCCACCACTCCCTGGCGCGGGTCGGGACCGCGGCACTTTGGAACACCCTAAACCCTAAACCCAAAAACCTAAACCCTAAGCCCTAAACCCTGCTCGTGAAACGAGCTATATAACAATTCAGCAGCTCGAATCCTTGCATCATCAAAACTACCAAGTATTTGAAGGATCAGGGTTTAGGGTTTAGGTTTAGAGTTTAAGGGGACTTAGCAAGCGGGGTGATAAGTAAGCTAACTATCCTAACTCAGGTGATATAACCCCACTTACTAAGTGCCCCGATCCTCCAAGCGCAATCCTTAGTTGCTGAGTTCATAAGCCCCAAAAGTGTACACTTTCAGTTCTATAGGGGAAAATAGTATCCCACGAAGTGCAAAGTGTACTCATTCAGCTACTAAGAATCAGTTGAGCCTCAACACTACAGACTGCGGCATGGCCACTTGGCATAGTTTGCAACAGCCTGCCAAACATGGGCCAGAAGGCCGGAGGCGTCCAGGTGGCTGGAGTGTATATATCCCACCTTTGGAGTAGACCCTGGAAAAAAGTATAAACGTTTAGGTATAAGTAGCTAGAATAGGAACCCAGAACCAAAAAAAGTACTAAAGTATAGTACTCGCAGCCCCAGTATATGGTTCCTCATAAGCTCTGTTGAGTCTGTGTGTATATACCTATGCTGTCAGTTCTCTATGGTGTGGTCCCTTTTTGGGTACCCTAAATAAGAGGGGCCGCCTTAGAATAAGGACCTTTGTAGAGAAGTCACCATACATGTATGAGGTATCCTTTTGGAGATACTAGCAATATCGGCCTTCCTCATACTACTGCTACGGCCACAAAGATCCCACCTCAAGGAGGCACTAGATGGTTATTGCCTTTTGGGGCTTCGGATAAGAAGGATAATCGCATTTCGGGGGCCCCTAATGGGGGTTATGGGCTTAGGGCTTATGT